TATACATATATATATATATATATATATATATATATATATATATATATATATATATATATATATATATATATATATATATATATATATATATATATATATATCACATTTCCAAATGTTCAATACAGCAATTTAAAAAAATTAAAAGTCCAGGCACCATAACATTACCCAGCTCCCTATGTTCTTTGCTATGGCTTAAATGATTCTCTAGATGATAAGTTTAAACAAAGGCTTTAAGCCTACTTTGGAGGGTCTGATTTTCTTCAACGACTGTTATCAGGGCCAAGCACACACACTGCTGACGTGACAGTGTCATCCCAGCCTGAGGAATATTCTGCCATGATGTGATAGGACAACCTGTAGTGAATGGCTTAAGCTTTATACTAAATGAAAGAATTTTCTTATATTCATTATGCATTCTGCTACATATTAATATTTACTGTACACTTTTTCAGCACAAGAGAAATTCTTAAAACGTTTAGAAAAGGTGGTACATTAAAGGCATCACGATACAGTAAACTGAAGCATTCACCCTTCATAAGATCTCTTGCTTGGTTAGTAGTATTGTTCTTTGTAACAAGGTTATCAACATTTAATGTCTCTTCTTTCAAAATGTGTTTTCCTTAAAGCATAATTTTGTATTAGATTTCTTAATGTTTAACAATTAAGAAGAATTGAAGTTATTTATTTTTATATTTGTCACATTTTGCGTAATATGTAATCAATAATTCTTAACTTGGTCTAAGTTGTAATATGTGTTTATTAGTAGATTTAGTTATATGCTTAATTTTTTTGCCTTGAAAATTACCTAAACACTTTGTATTTAAATCAATGACTGGAGTGAATTCTAAAGTGCTAACTATTACAATTTTATGTATCAGTTTTTCTCTGGGAAATGATATTGATATATTTCTCTCTATTTCTTCCTTCTTCTCCCTCTTTTTCCCATTCGCTCAGTTTCTTGCACTCCCTTTCATTTTTTTTCTTTCTCTTTTGTTTTCTCTTGTTATATTTCTCTTTTTCTCTTTCTTGAGATACATTTCACTAACTAAATATCCGTTTTTCAATAGATGTATTTCTTTCTAAGTCATCTTCTCTTTCTCTTTCTCATTTTCTCTCACTTTATTTCATTTTCTAGACAGCCATTCAGATAATGCAATATTTCTCTTCTTCATTTTCATACTGCACGTCACATTGCAATTAGCTGTTATTCACAATAAAAATAAATAAGCAAAATAAAACAGACAGTATGTCACACCAAGAATATCCATTGTAACAAATGGAATCAAACTAAATTATTAGTATTATTATTATAATTATTAATTATTATTATCTCTCTCTCTCTCTCTCACTCCCTCTCTCTCCCTCTCCCTCTCCCTCTCTCTCTCCCTCTCTCTCTCCCTCTCTCTCTCCCTCTCCCTCTCCCTCTCCCTCTCCCTCTCCCTCTCCCTCTCCCTCTCTCCCTTCCTCCCTCCCTCCCTCTCTCTCTCTCTCTCTCTCTCTCTCTCTCTCTCTCTCTCTCTCTCTCTCTCTCTCTCTCTCTCTCTCTCTCTCTCTCTCTCCCTCCCTCCCTCCCTCCCTCCCTCCCTCCCTCCCTCCCTCCCTCCCTCCCTCCCTCCCTCTCTCTCTCTCTCTACCTCTACCTCTACCTCTCCCTCCTTTCATCGCTTTATCCAACTCTCCACTCCTCCCTCCCTTCCTCTACCTATCCACCCATGCTTCCCTTTATCCAACTCTCCATTCCTCCCTCCCTTCCTGTACCTTCCTTCCATCTATCCATCCTTTTATCATTCCCTCCTTCCCTTCTTTCCTTCCCTCCCCTTCTCTTTCCTTCCCTCCCTCCATCTCTTTCGCTCTCTCAGATCTCATCTTGATTTTAGTAAATGGAAGATTATTTTTTTACAGGTCAGGTGCCTTAGTGTCTGCAGGTTTAAGTAGCTGGCTTATTTACAGCACATTTAAGAAGGCTTCTTCCTGAGTTTCTGTATAGATATATGAAAAAAATAAATAAGTAGCTGCAGTTGCAGTAAATAAATGAGAACATTGCAAATTGTTATTGATTTATATTCATAAATCAAACTGTTTTGTTTGATGTTTCAAGTGTGTTCGTTTGTGGATTTGTGGGTCCTCAACGAGCTGTGCTTGTGCTGCAGTTTCAAAGGCATGCTATCAGTAGCACAAGTTGTAGGGTTGCACTGAATCTTCAAACAAGAATATTTATCTTCCACACCATGTAAATGAAGAATGAGGAACAAGAAAGGAATAGCATGAAGTGAGCACCCACATATTTTTCAAAAGAAAACAGTCAGGACCAGATATGTATGTAACTTGATAATTATGAAGTTAAATGTAAATTAATGATAAATATTTGTATTTCCCTGTTTTATATATATATTTTTCAATATATATCAAATTTAGTTTCATTCTATACTTTTGCATACATGTTTTCAGTAAGTAATTAATTGTTTGTCTTTTTAAAAACTCTTATGTGATTTCAGATTACAGTTCCTAATAATTTTCTGATAGTTACTGTATTTTTACTTTGTAGGAACTTTGAGATTATTTCATATTTCCTACTTCTTTGTTTTGTTACATAAAAAAATAATTTGCAAGTATCAGTTTCATTCACATCACTAATATTTTAGAAATAATCATATTCATGATAATCTGTCTTAAGATTTCATGTATGGTGTAGTGTGCAAAATTATTGTTCTGGTAATCTACAGAATATATTTTCCCCATAGAGCACCTAGCTAAGAAATCCTCAGAGAACACATAATGAAAAACATCTTTTTCCCATCAAGCAGAGTGCTAAGTTACTTCTTAGGCAACCTTACCACTTTCTTTTTTGTGAGCTCCCATCTGCATTAAATTCCCTTATACATTGGAAAAGCACCTCAAAATTATAACTCTAGGCAATCTTTTATTCCTGTTCTAGCTTCCAGTCATCCACACAATAAAACAGTAAAACCCTAGTAAAGATTCCTAGATTCTTAAATTTGCAAGTTCAGATCATGGATAATGCCCCTGATCCAAATGCTATCAAGTATTTTATAAATCAGTTTGGAAACAAGCCGACAGCTGCTGTCTCTTTCTCTTTTTAAAAGAACTTTCACCACTAAGGACCACCCCCCACACACACTCACATATATATATACAGGCTCAATGAGAAGGTCTGCTGGTGCATTGCCCAGGGACCTGTTTGTTGGGGGACACCATTATTGTGTTCATTAAATAATTAAAAAGATGCATTATTATTACTTTCAGTACCATTATTATTAAGCAACCCTTAATAGGGGGGAGCAGTGGTCACAGAAGGCTTCCCTGACCGGGCATCCATATACTGTCTATCAGCTACAGAGTGGTCACACTATGCACAGTATTGAAGAAAGTTGTGGATTCTGTGATTACTGTAATGAATTGATTGAAAAAAATCTAGAAAGAAGACACTAAACAGAAAAGCCAATCCATCAATTTTATTAATTATAATACATCAAACAACATGCCAGCTACTCTGATACCCTATATTTCAACAGAAATAGAAAATGATATTTTTTCTAATAGCATATACTGCTATTAGTGTAATCAGTAATGTACGAGAGAGGTAAATATGGACTGATAAAAAATAAAGTTGAGAGGAGGTGAATACTATTTTGAAATTGAGAATAATATTGGTACCTGCCAATCATGATATCCTTGCTATCATTACGATTATACCCTGTGAAAAGCTATGTTCTTGTTGATTTCATCCATAATTCCCCCCCAATCCCTTGCCTATTGTTGTCTTGGGGGTGCTTAGGAGGCAGAGACTGGGACCCAATGATAGGGAACTCCCCAATCTTGGGACTCAGCCCTTGACTCAACTAATTTTGCATAGTCTTTTTTCCCCTCCTACTTTTTCTGTCCCTTCACCAACCCATTCTACTATCCACTTCCAAAGGTGTGAGAGCCGTGATGAAAGGATGAAATGCTTACTTTGTACTAGTCCTGAATGGCCTGAGGAAGCCATGAGCACAGTATTCCCCTGCTTTAGTTACCTAACCCTTACCCCTCAAGGGGACACTGAGGGGTAGACTGTTTCTCTCCCCAACATACTTCAGGCTTACCATGGCCAATAATGAAGATGTTATTCCACTATTAGGGGCGATGAGGCTTGCCTCTTCATCAAATAGCCCCAACAATTCAAACTCCCGATTCCCTAACCCCAGGCTCTCCTTTGACCACGGCTCCGAATGCTACAACTATTACCCCCTCCTCAATGCCTACTAGTACAGTATCCACCCTAGTCAACACTCAACCCCCAGGAGACATTTCTACTTTCCCAACATGCTCAACTTACACACCTCTACCCCCACAACCTTCTTCATCAACCACCACATCCTCCCTTATTACTACTTTACAGCCTTATTGCCCACCTCTCCATAACACTACCACCCTCAACACTACTCCCTCCTCCACACCCCCCCGTCCTTTTACTACCCCCATCTCTACAAAAATCTTAAATACTCTATTTAGCCCAGCCAAATGGGACCAGTTTTTCATGATCCCTCCCACAGCTTCCTACTCTGACAACATCCTTCTCTTCCAGGAATGTCTCCAAAAGCAAGTAGGCAAAGGCTCTTTCCGTAGTCGACCCGTCCCATCTTGTCACAGTAACATCTGAAAACCAAGCTATAGCATTATCAAATCTAATTGATCTATATGGTAACCCCATCCCTGCAGAACCCCATCCAGCCCTCAATATTTGCACCAAAACTGTTTCTATCTCCCCAGCAAATTGCCCAATCTATAACAAAAATTGGTTAGATTGTGGAGAAGACTTACTCGCCTGTCTCACAGACTATGATGCGATATCAGTACAATGCTACTCTATTCCTCCCAGAGGACATCATGAGAACCCCACTAACATTGCCAAAATTACTTTCCGTAAACACAAACTTCCCTTAACCCATTGCCACCGGGGAAAATGTGTGCTCATTTTTTATATTTTTTGTGACATTTTTCTACACATATATAGCTCTGCCGTACCTGATTTCATCTTTCCTTTAATTGGCGGGAAAATGTATTTTTTTACTAGTACTATGAATATCGATGTTGTTAGTTTTATTATAAATAATGTAATTACTATAATGTTTTCGAAAATTAAAGAAAAGGGTGAACGGGCGAGATAGGCAGTACTCGTAATTGGCTCATTGGTGACTTACTACATGTGTAGCCATCTATGGGTAGAAACATTCAAATAAGTAAACTCAGAGTGGGCATGGCATGGCATGCCCGTCGGCAATGGGTTAAATGTTTACGTTGGTGAATCCCTCCCTGTCCAACCATATCAACCTCCTCCTCGTCAGTTCTAACCCCTACCTTCTCCAGTCAAATTCTTTTGCCATCCTAGATCCAGACACTCCAATCTCTACTCCCCCCCCCCAATCCCTTGCCCATTGTTGTCGTGGGGAGGCTTAGGAGGCGGAGACTGTGACCCAATGATGGGGAACTCCCCAACCTTGGGACTCAGCCCTCGACTCATCTAATTTTGCATGGACTTTTTTCCCTTTCTACTTTTTCGTTTCTGTCACTTCACCAATCCCTTCTACTATCCACCTCCTAAGGTGTGAGAGCTGTGCTGAAAGGATGAAAGGATGACTTTGTGCCAGTCCTGAACAGCCTGAGGGAGCCATGGGCATGGTATTCTCCTGCTTAGGCCTAGCCCTTACGCCTCAAGGGGACCCTGAGGGGTGGACTGTTTTTATCCCCAACATACTCCAGGCTTACTATGGCCAATAATGAAAACGTAATTCCTTTACTAGGGGCAATGAGGCTTGCCCCTTCATCAAATAGCCCCAACAATTCAAACCCTCCCGATTCCCTGACCCCAGGCTCTCCTTTGACCAAGGCTCCGAATACTGCAACAACTATCCCCTCCTCAATGCCTACTAGTACAGTAGTCAACACTCAACCCCCTAGAGACATTTCTACTCTCCCATCATGCTCAACTTCAACACCTCTACCCCCACAACCTTCTACATCAACTACCCCATCTTCCCTTATTAATACCTTACAGCCTTATTGCCCACCTCTCTATAACACTACCTCCCTCAACACTACTCCCTCTTCGACATGCCCCGGCCCTTCTACTACCCCTATCTTTACAACAGTCTTAAATACTCTATTTAGCCCAGCCAAATGGGACCGATTTTTTGTGATACCTCCCACAGCTCCCTACTCTGACAACACCCTTCTCTTCCAGCAATGTCTCCAAAAACAAGTAGGCAAAGTCTCTATACTGTGTATTATATCGGTATTATATGCCTGTGTGGCTCCCACATGGACACTCCTAGATGCCACGTGGCTCGCCCATGCTACCGCCCCACGCTACCGACTCAAGCGACGCTGCCCTCATCGGATATAAGGGCCCGCGCTTGACCGGTCAATTAGAATGTGCCCGCCGCGGCTGGCCCAAGGGTCGGCACCTGTCCACCTCAGGTCAGGGCTGACCGTCCCCTCCCCGCTGACCGCGCGCTACCCAAGACTGTCTCGTTGTGTCTATTAAATCCATGTGTTGAACTCTTCTAGAATAAAGAGTGTAAAGCCACCCAAGCTTTTTACTACTCCTGTCACCAATGTTTAGAGGTCTTCTATAACCCTTTACAGTCTCTTTCCGTAGCCGACCCGAACGCTCCCGTCTCGTCACAGTAACATCCGAAAACCAAGCTATAGCATTAGCAAAATTAACTGATCTATATGGTAACCCTATCCCTGCAGAACCCCATCCAACCCTCAATACTTGCACCGGAACTGTTTCTATCTCCTCAGCAAATTCCCCAACCTATGACAAAGATTGGTCAGATTGTGGAGAAGACTTACTCGCCTGTCTCACATACTATGATGCAACATCAGTACAATGCTACTCCATTCTTCCCAGAGGGCATCGTAAGAAACCCACTAACATCGCTAAAATTACTTTCCGTAGACATGACCTTCCATTTAATGTTTACATAGGTGGAGAATCCCTCCCTGTCAGACCATACCAACCTCCTCCTCGTCAGTGCCAAAATTGTTGGCGTTTAGGACAACCAGTCAAACATTGCCGTTCCACAGCCAGATGCCCACTATGTGCCCAACGTGGCCATACTCGATCAAACTGCTCTGCACAATCACGCACATGTGCCAACAGTGGTGGCCCTCATAATATATTTTATAGGGGCTGCCCTGAGGTAGCAACTCTCAGATTCAAACTTGGACTCACACTACGTGAAGCCAGACAGGAAGCACGTCGACGAGGTTTTTCTCTTAATCCCTACTCCAGTAATATTGCTCATTCTACCACTTCCCCTACCTCCCACGCTCCTACATCCTCTCCTAAACCTACCCCCCTCCATCTAACTCCCCCTCTTCTACCTCCTACCTTCCCCATTCAAACTCTTTTGCCATCCTAAATCCAGACACTCCAATCTCCACCCGACTCCAGCCCTGCCCACATTAACCCTCCCACCATCCCCTCTGTCC